ATAACTCAAAACTCTTTGCTTTACTCATTTAATGAGCCCCTAAAAGTGATGGCCAATGCAGGCCATCATGTTTCACCACCCACACGAAAATGCCTTGCACCGAACCTGACCAAATCCAATTATGGACATGTTATCGGGAAATCCATCATACGCCGCCAGACTTACTTCTTGCAATCCCAAAGTACAGTTGCAAGCGGCTTCAGCGATAATTTGGAGGACGTGTTGGATCAGATCATCTGCATGAGTGTGCGCCTTCGCCCACGAGAAGCTGCAAACAAATAGTCGCACTTCTACAACGACAATGGCCAGTTTCCTACAGTATCATGGCCCATGATTCATGGAGGCTTCGCAAGGCGTTAAAACCTCCCTGGCTTCCGTTGGTCGCTCCGCGTGAATGAGCCGAATCAGCACCGCTTCGCTGAACGCTGGAAATATCTGAGTAACTTTCCTGTATGCTGTGTAAAATCTAGTAGACCAACCTCCGGTTCCATAATATTAAGGAGGGCCATCGCATGCGTGCATGTAACAATTGATTGCATTCCACGGTCAATCTCAGCTTGTCGCGGTCGCCGGGCTGCGGCCAGTGATAGTGCCTATGTCGAAGTCTGCTGCGAACTGAGACCAGAAACACTTCCTACAATGCGATTGAGGCCTGGGAACAGCGTTCGGTCAATCAGTGTCGCTCGATTATGCGACATCGAAGGATCAGGAATTCTCACGAAATTGTCATGGTATGATGCCGGAGCTCCAATACGATGTAGCTCAACTCCTCGACATGCGAGAACAAGGTTTGGTCGAACGTGGTTGTTCACATCTGAGAGCGGAGCAACTGCCATCACTGATATTCAATCGGAATGACTGCCTGTGGGTCGTAGATGAATCCTCGAGAAGGGTGGCCAGACCCTGCGGGGCAAGTTCGTCTCCCTAGACCATGGCTATCCTGCTGCTGCGCCTGGATGGATCCCAGCCGCAAATCCAAAAATGAAGGCCTTCCTCATCATCACCGATGTTGCTACGGGCTTCACCATGATAAGATCCGTCGAAGCCGTGGACGGCAAAGCTACGGTGAAAACTTTCTTCGACGTTTGGGTTAGTGTATACGGAGTACCTTTGGGCCTCGCGGGTGATAATTTTCTGGATGCCCCGGCTTTGAGGTCATCGTTATTGTCTCTCGGAGTCCGTTTCTTGCCTTCCCCCCCATGGTCGCCTTGGAGCAATGGTAGCAGCGAAGCACGGGTCGGTAGAGTGAAGCGATTGGTACCTACCTTGGGGATAGCTTGGGACTTATCGCTACCCCATGTCCAACTCATCATAAATACCAACAAGCGGGCTGCCGGTTACTCAGCGGCTGAGCTTATGTTCGGTACTCAGCCCCGCACGCCAGCGGACGCGGTTCTCCACTCCCTGTTGAGCCGAGGACCCACGCTGGACGACATGTCCGCCACGGCCGAGTCTTCCGACGCCCCTATCCAACTCAACAAGATCATCAAGGATGCAATCGACGCCACCCGTTTCGTCGTCGTGCAGTCTCACATACGAGACAATGTTAGGGCTCTGGCCTCGCGTTCTGGCGAGCCCTTGAAGGACGGAGAGCTAGTCGTCTGGCGGCGCCCTGGAGCACGGCCAATCGAAGGGCATGTTGTCCTGGTATCGGGCGTCAATGTTGAGCAGGGACCGTATGCCTACCTCGGCAACATGGTTGGTTTCTTTACAAGGCTGCGCCCACTAGGTGCCCCGGAGGACAGATCGGTAGCCGTTTCGGCGAATCATCTCGAGGCAAGAAGCGTGATTGTGGATAGAGCGCGCCCACAATTAGCCCTCGAGGCGGTCCTTCCTCTATCCTCCGTGAATCATGGAGAGTATGTTCTGGGAAGGGTGGGCGAAGGCATCGATATCATAGGGCAGGTATCAGATAGCAGCAACATGCAAGGCGACAACTGCATCTTGCACGTGCTCGATACTGTCAATGGTTCACAATTTCTACCGGTTTGGGTGACTCCCTCCGGGGAAACCTATGTCAACGCCCAGGCTCAGGATGGGGATGTTCCTTTGATGCGGACGGTATATGCGGTTTTGATGCGCATTGAACTGACATCCACTTGCCGACTGAGAGACTCGTCCAGACGCTCTTTAGTCAGAGCGGGATATCTTCCTGAGTAAATTTTTTTCCCGCCCTCCGACCCTTATTCGGGGAGGGGTGGTCTGCAGTGTAGGACCCGACCCATACTAGGAGCGGCTATGTGTCGACTCCCCACTTCAAGGGCTTCTCTGAGGGTCTTGTGTTCTTCACGCGCGCAATATCGTGACGCCGGTTGTGACACGTGCACGATCAGCCCCGTTCATTGCACCCTTTTCCATGAGGCATTAATTGCTAAGTCTTTTTGGCGTCGTTACGGGTTATGACCCTACATTTCTCTGTGTAGCCTCTCATATCCCATCTTCTGATGCCTTACTCACACAACCTGTTTGAGACCCCATCTTCAAGAGGCGGAGGGGTTGAGTTGCCACCAGTTATTCCGGGGTTTGAGCCGGCAGACGCTACAGGCCTCCTGCTTGCATATTCAGTGTACTTCCTAGATTCCTCGCAGTATGAACCTCGGTGCAAGTAAATCGTTTCTGATTATCTTTCAGTTGGATCGGTCATGCGTTTTAGATACCAACCAGAGGTATTTTACCAATGCTGCGTTTCCTACACCAAGATGCTCAAGAAATTCGCCGATAACGTCGCCCTTGTGTACGAAGACAAAAGTGCATTAAAACAGTGTTTACAAGTGATCTACTCGATACACCCTCATGGTGTCATGTCATTCTCATGTCATGTCCGTTCATGAGAGAACTCTGGCTTGCACTCGGTCTCATTGATGCAGGGCACGCAACTTGCATGAAGGCATTGAAGCAGGGCTACAGTCTCACTCTACTCCTCGGTGGCACGAAAGAGCAGTTGATACCATACTCGCCTGCTCATGATACCATCGTATGCAAGTCGAGGAAAGGGTTCATTTATCTGGCTAGGGGTGCTGGGAAAATAACGATCGTGCCATGCTATTGTTTCGGAGAGCAGATAGCTTATGGCAAGCAATACCGTAACAGCTCTGATTCAGCAGTGTTATTTCTCAGAAACGAGTGCCTTCATACTCCCCTCCCGTCGGTGGGTGCAACATAACCTCGGCGTGGGCATGCCGCTCCCCAAGTCACTGCGCCCGAAGCCTTTGAAGGATTTCGTAGTCGTTATTGGCGCCCCTATCATATGGCAAGAAAATGACACCGTGAATACCATGCATGCTAAGTGAGATGATTCACATCCGACTTTTACTCCATGATCCACATCGACAGTTTTACATACAGCTTATACAGTCCTATCATTGAAGTATACCTCGCTGAGCGAGGCTCGCTCCGCTTGCAGATACGTTTCGGCGACTCGTGATCTCTTT